ATACAAAATGTTGTTAATAAGGGTGTACTGTTTCCATCTCTACAAGGGAAGATGAAACGTGTAACTCTTGAGAACTGTATTGTTATTACATAATGTTAAAGGAGTATACATAAAGGGGGTGGATATTAGTTGACTTTGATGTAATGATAAAAAAAAATCTAATCAAGTGGGTTAAATGGATCCAAGTAAGTGGATTAGTCTGATCTTAGAAAATGTACTGAGAAAGGAGGAGGCAGACAAGGGTAAATTACATTACAGGAAAAGATAGAAAATCCTATTATGGCAGAGGAAAGAAGGGAGGGGGGTGAGCATTGCTTGAACCTTACTCTCATCAGATGTGGCTCAAGAAGGGAATAACATAATCAGTTAGGTATAGAAATCTAACTTGCCCTATAGGCAGTAGGAGGGAAAAGGGGAAAGAAAAGGGAGGGGGGATAGAAGGGAGGGAAGAAGCAGTAAGGGCAAAGGGGAAGAAAAGGTAAAGGGATAATATGAAGGAGGAGAGAGACTGAAGGAGGCAGTGGTCAAAAGCAAAAAAACACTAGATGAGAGGGGGAAAGGAGAAAGGAGGAAGAAAAGCATAACAGGGGCAAAAAGAGGATGGAGAAAAAGACCCAGATAGTAATCATAACTGCGAAAGTTGAATTGCTATCTTTTTTTCTCTTCTGTTGAGTTTTGTTTCCTCTTTCTGATGGTTCCTCTTATTGGTTTTAATTTTTACTTACAATTTCACTAATGTGAAAATATGTTTAATAGGAATGTAAATTTATACCCTATATCAGATTGTGCACCATCTTGGGGAGGGTGGTGGGGAGGAAGGGGAAGAAAAATCTTAAATTAAAAAGCATATGTAAGTGATTGTTGATAAATCAAAATAAATTAATTAAAAAAGACTCTATTCCTAGACCTGCCTTCAACACATATTAGCTATTACTCCTGAGACAACTGAGTAAGATTCTTAAGTCATACATCAGTTACTGATATGTATTAATAAAGGGAATGTCTCAGACTGATGAAATTATAGGTCCAGACCAGAAAAGAAACAAAAAGAGTATCTTTGATTTGGAAGGGATTAGAAAGATCATCTAATATAATATCTCACCTGAAACATCAAATCTCTATTTGAAGACCTTAAGTGATGGGGAACTCATCTCACAAGACAGCCCATTCCATTTCAAAACATCAGTTGTTAGAAAGTTGTTCCTTTTATTGAGTTGAAACCCAGATCCCTTCTAAAATCATCAATTTAGAGCTGAGAGAGACCTATTCCTATTCCCCCACTTTATAGGAAAGGAAACTGAGACCTAGAGAAATTATGTGACTTGTCCAAGTTAATAATGATAAATGACAGAAGCAGGATTTGAACTGAGGTTCTCTGATTCCGATGTCTACTGGTCCTAGTTCTGCTCTAGGTACCTACACCGAATACATCTCATTCCTCATCCATATTTCAGCTCTTCAAATGTTTAAAAATAGCTATTATGTTCTCTCTAAGTCTTTTCCTCCCTGAGTCAACATGTATGGTCATTGATGGATTTTATCTTGTTTTCTGAATTTGTAGACACCTCAGGATACATTGTTTTCTACTCCAGATTTACCATATTCAATTTCCCTTGAAGTTACTCCCAATTGTTCCTACATCCCCCCTTCCCTCCAAAAATATAGAAAGAACTCAAGTGACATAAAAAAGCAGAAATGTGCACTGTTACAGATTTAAACAATATCTTTGTTATACTCAACTTTGCTGTGTTAATACATTTATTGGTGCTAACACAAATATTAGAGATGTGATTTGGAGCTTAAAAGTAGTCAGGATTGTTTGTTGTACAACATCTGTGCACTAAAGGTTTATAATCAATTTTTCTAGGTAAGCAAAACAGCAATTAGATTATATAGTTGTATACAAATGCTCAGCAGGCATTAACATGTACATGGTGAGGTGGCTGGTAAATAATAGTAATTCCCTACTTAAAGGATTTTGTAAATTTTCATGAGAAAAAAACAACCCAGGAAATGGGAATTTTTTTTCCCCAGAGACTGGATGGAGAAATTAAAGGTTTTAGGTATTTGTTTCCTGCTGACTCGATAATGAAATTATAGTCTATTCCCTCCCCCCCTTCTGTCCCCCCCCCAAAGAAAATCCTGATAATGTTTATGAGACTCTGAATATTGGGGAAAATAGATGATGTCATTGACTCAGACCTTTGAAAAATGTTTAAGGAACACAGAAAAATGTTAAACAAGCAATCCGTTTGTTATTTCCAGGTAGTTTGAATGGAGAAGATTGTCTCTAAATAATCAAGTCACTAATTTATTCTGATTCCTATACCAAACTGAAGGAAAGGAATGAACAGCAAAATAAGAGATGGGGGAATTAGAAAGGGGAAATTTAGATTAATTCATCTGGTGAGACAGAAGAAACCATACATGGTAGAAACATAAGATAGTTGCTTAGGTAAAATGACTGAGCAGATAACCAGTTCATTGAATGTAAACATTGAGATTATGTTTACCTGATATCACACATCTCTATAAAAGCTTAAAAAAATCAGTCAATTTTGAATGTTTCCAAACATCAAGGTAGTTAAGAGATCTTTTAGGTCTCTGCCTTGGAAGCATGAACACTTTATGATTTCTGATTTATGTTGACTTGACATAAAAATTATGCACATCTACAATAGTAAAGTTTTTCCATTTTTCTTCAAACTGTCTGTCATTAGGCTAGCCTCATTTGAATGTTTCTTCCTCCAAAGTGTTGATTAAATAAACCTGGTTAGAATTTTTTTTTAACTTCAATAATTCAGAGCTGAAATCTGAATATATCCTTACTCTTTCCAGAACTACATTTAGAACATAGAGCTGGAAGACACCTCAGTAACCATCAAGTCCAATCCCCTCATTTTACAGATGAGGTGACTGAGGCCAAGAGAGGTTAAGTATGTTGTTGAAAGTCACACAGGTAGTGAGTACCAGAGGTGAGATTTGAGCAATGGAGGCAATAGAGGATGGTTTTTCAGTCGTGGATGGCCGTGAAAGAGATGTGGATTTACTAAGCATCCTGTATAAAAACATTTTATCTATATGAACCAGTTCTTTTTCTTTTTCTTTTTCTGGAGGGATGAGTAATTGAATTTAGTCCAACAACTGATTATTTTGAAAACTATTAGGTTTGAGTGGGTAGTTGGTATGTGGAAGATATATGGAGTGGAGTTAACCTTAGATTTACCCAAGGTCCTTTTAGCTCATTAAGCTTCCACCAGAAAGCAACAATAGAGAAAAAGAAAAGAAAAAAAAAACAAATTTCTAGTAGTCTAAATAATGAATAGATTTTTTAACCTATAGACTAAAATTGCTCAGTTCTTTTCAAACCTGAAATAATGGTGTTTGTCAAGGAAAGATTTGTGCTCTGTTTGAGAGTAATTTATTGGAAAATGAACAAAAAATCCCCAACCCACTGAGCATGATATCGATTGCTTGCTGCCTTTACACGTTGCTATTGGTGGCAGACAAATGGACAGCAAAATGATAACTTTGTAGCCAAAAGCTAGCTTATCGTTCTGGGCCATTCTTTAGACAAGAAGATCAATCTATCAGCCAGTAAGTATTTATTGAGTCCCTCCTCTGTGTTCAGTGCAGAGTCTTCTAGAAACATTTCCATGGCCATCCTGTTTGTTCTAGAAGTGAGTGGGTGTGGACTTTGGCACTCATCCTTTGTACTGCTTCTTTCCATCTTAATTCTATGAGGTCAGTGAAGCAAGGATGAGAAGTGAAGCAGAGAAGCTGGCTGTGGGAAGTTGTGAATAGATTACTGTTTTACTCTGAGTATGGGCTTCTTAGGGAAACTAGAGGGTGTGGTGGGTAGATTGTTGTGCCTAGAGTCAGAAAGATCCATTTTTCTGAGTTCAAATCCAGCCTCAGAAACTTATTAGCTGTGTGACCCTGGACAAGTCACTTAACCCTGTTTGCCTCAGTTTCCATATCTGTAAAATGAGCTAGAGAAGGAAATGGCAATGTGTCATTAATGGTAATATCTTTGCCAAGAAAACCCCAAATGGGGTCATGAAGAGTCAGACACAACTAAACAACAACAAAAGAGTTCTGAATTTTTTCTTTCTTTCTTTCTTTCTTTCTTTCTTTCTTTTTTTTTTCGCGTGTCATGGACCCAAGGAAACTAAGTGGCTCAGTGCCCAGAGTGCTGGGCTTGGAGTCAGAAAGAGCTGAGTTTTAATCCTGCCTCAGACACTTACTAGCTTTGTGATCCTGGGCAAGTTATTTAACCTCTCTGTGCCTCATTTTCCTCATCTGTAAAATGGGGATAATAATTGTACCTACTTCCCAGAGTTATTTGAAGGTCAAATAAAATAACATATATAAAGCACTTTGCAAAAATTAATGTGGTATATACATGCTAGCTGTTGTTATCATCATCATCATCATCATCATCATCATCATCATTGTTATTATTGACTATTTGGGGAGCCTGATGAAGCTTATGGACTTCTCAGAATATTTCTAAATCCATAAAACAGAATATATAGTGTTACGAAGAAAAACAATTAAAGTGAAATAGTTATCAAAATATTTTTTTTCAAAAATAAGTTTATTGACACCAAGTTAAAATCCTACCTCCCTCATTTCTAAGCAATCAGAAACATGAGTAGATGGACCAAACATCATGAAAGATATGTGTCTGCTGAGGCAAAAAACCCCAAATGGACAGGCTTATCTCTCATCTCAAATGGAGCCCTAAGGAACTAAGTAGGCAATGAGAAATGGTTCTAGGCCATCCTAAAGGAAAACAACTTTTTGGATCATTAAAAAAAATATTGAGTCCTTGCCCATCTAGCTGCTTGGATTCAGCTCTGCAGTTTGTGGTTTTTCATGGGAGCAATGACATTTCTAGTTTATGGTTCATCAGTGTTGTTTCAATGATTGAATTATCTCATTTGTTATCCATTCACTAATCTCCCCCTGAACATTTTTTCTTTTTCTTCCTCTAGATTCATGATCAATGTGACATGGGAAGGCAAAGACTTGTCTTTCACAGAAGCAGGGTACCAAGTGCACCCCAGGTTAGTGGTGATTGTGCTGAACAAGGACCGAGAGTGGGAAAAGGTAAGCATCTCTCTTTCTCAATGTCTCTCTGTCTGTCTCAACAACTCCTTGGCAGGAACAAAAAGACAGACCATGAAGAGCTCAGGTGCCTACTTGTCTAATTTTTTTTTTTTTTGCTTAAGCTGCTATAAGTATGGAGTCATAAAATGTCAAAGCTAGAATGGACAAAGCTAGAATAGTTCATCTAGTCTTTTACTTAGGAAGTGAAGAAACAGGCTCAAGTGGGTTGAGTCATTTGCCCAAAGTTTTGACTTGTACCTTCGGATATGCCCACTGCTAATCACCCTTCAATGCTGGGTTGACAAAAGGTTTGTGAGGGCTTGGCGTGTGACCTTTTCCACAGTGAGGTAGATTGAGCTTTGCCAAAATGTCCTCATCAGATCTTGATTTGATACACTTGGTAGTTTTAGGACATTACTGCTCTTCTCCTAACTCAAAGATTCCAATTCTTCTTTCTGCTTATGTTATATACCTATCTCTTTAGGGTTTCTAGGTTGATATCGAGTACCTTCCCAATCAATACCCCAGTGGATTAAAAAAAGGAAAGCACATATCATTTTGTACCTGATTTACCATGCAGTTTTATACCACCTCACACCTAGTTTATACCCAACAGCTTGAGTAGTAGATATAATGATGAATTTGAAATTCAGGGAGACTTAGGTTCTAGTTACATTTCTTTACACTTCATGATTGTGTTTAATAACTTAACCTTTCTGACTTTTAGGATATTCATGTATATAAAGTATTTTGTAGAGTATTAAACATGAAATAAATGTCAGTGAGGATTATTATTTATAAAAGATAAATAAGGTGGCTGTTTAGTATGGAATGTTTAATCCATTTGATCAATAATTCTCTCTCTTAAAACACATTTAGAGATTTGTTTTTGGCTGAGCCCTTTCACTATTTCTACTTCCTGAACCTCTTCAAAGGAATAATTCTGACTGATCCAGCTTCTGACTTCCCTGGTCCTGAAACCCTAGTTGTGTGACTGCTTTGAGAATAACTTTGGGAACTGGCCTCAATTCACTTTTCATTGTTCTTCAGATGCCATGAATAGGGGTACAAGAATGTGTAAGAATTAAACCAAGGATTTCTTCTTGGAAGGAAATATGAGGAAGAGGCAGCATTATATAGTGGATGGAATATTGGTTTTGGATTCTGGGGTCTTGAATTCACTTGGTTCTGATACATACTACCTGTATAGCCTTGGGCATATCACCTAATTTTCCTGAGCTTCAACTTCCCTCATCTGTAAAATGTGGTTATTGAATTAAATTCAACAAGCCTGTATTAAACACCTACTATGTACTTAACATTGTCTTAGGCCCTGGAATACAAAGACAGAAAAAACAAAACAGTCACTGCCCTCACAGACTGTTCTTGGGGGGATGGGAAAGACAAGAAAAGGAAGGATTATAGAGGAAGTAAAACATAACACAAGTTAGTATACATAAAATAAAGGCAAAATCCATACAAAGTAATTTCAGGCAGTTGAAAGGAAAGCACTAACAATGGAGGGGATTAGCAATATTTTTGGCCCTGTCCAGCTTTTAATCTAGAATTCTATTGATTTCATGTTTTCTTGCTTTTCTGCAGGAAGCATAATATTCTGAGAGCCAGTAGCAAAAGCTTTTCTGTAGGTTGGATTTAATCAGGCCCCGATTGGGTCCAGTTTGAACATGTGAATATGTGTGGTTATGTTTGGAATTAGTTAGAATGTTGGAGGGGGGTATAGTTTGCAGAGTACTATGAAAATGTTACTAAAGGAAAGCCTGCCTCTTGTATTGTTTCCAAGTGTAGAAAATGGTTCTTAATACTTTTTATGTCATTATTCAAATTTCTCTTGAAATGAAACAATTTCCTTAAAAAATGACTGGGGAATGGCTTCTGAGTTGAGGTTGGAATGGTAAATGACGTGGGTCTATTCTGCTGGTGCATGAGAGACTTGGCCCTTCTGAAATGCCTCTGTTGCACTTTTGTCTCAGAGGGAAAGAGAGGCAGTGAAGCAGATAAATGGCAGTCATGTTATTTTGAATCCTCCTTTACCACACCTCTCCCCCTCTAACCCTTCACTATGGTACAGTGGGTCAGAGAATAAATGCCAAAGAGAAATCACAGTGATTCAGCCACACAGGGGATTTCTTTTCATTTTAGAGTTCGCACAGTGGCCTTGCCAGTGATGCTGAATCTGCCTGAGGGCTTGGGGCTTTGCAACATGTAATGAGAGCGTCTCAGAAAACATGACAGGCCCACAGAGAGACCATGGCTTCCTGCTGGGTCTTTGTACAGGCTTGGCATGGGAATGCCAGCACCACAAACCAAGCTGTTCTCCTGCAAAATGAAACGTTCTGTGCAGAACAGGAGTTCTCTTGCAATCAGGGCATTTGTGGCAATCATCTGTTTTTTATATTATTATTTTATTATATATCATTATATTTATTATATTATATATTATTATGTTTATTATTATATATATATTTTTTTGGTCATTCAACTGCAATGGGGATGTAGAATCCTAATCTGATGCATGCCTCTGCGGACCTCTGCAGAGGCCCAAGAGCTGATTAGGAATATGGATCATAAGTTAATAGGGTCATAGATTTAGAGATACAAAGGATTTTAAAATGTATCTAGTCCACATGATCATTTTTCAGATAAGGAAACTGAGGCCCAGAGAGGTTTTTAAGTGACTTGCCCAAATTCATATGGCTAGTAAATGTCAGAACTGGGCTTCAAGTATCTATTAAGTAGTTGCTTTCTGCCTGGCACTGTGTTACAAAATATGAAATAATCCCTCTTTCGTACCTTCTAATGAAGGCAATAACACACACACACACACACACACACACACACACACACACACACACACACACACACAACATATATATATATATAATTTTCTAAGACAACACTCAGCCTCAGATGTCCAAGTTCCGTATTCTGATTTGTTACGTTCCAAGAACAATAATAATATGAGGAGGATGGATGTGGTGCAGTGGTTTGTAGTTAAAGAAAATGGCTTTTTAAATCTTTGCTTTTGGAACAAAGGACAAGTCACTTAATTTTTCTGGGCCTCAGTTTCTTCATCTGTAAAATCAAAGAGTTGGATTTAATGCTCTCTAACAACTTTATAGCTTATGATTCAGACTGTGAATTAGTTATGCTAGCTTAGCCTCAGTTTCCCCTGTAGAAGAAAATTGTTGAACTAGATTATTGAAAAAGCCTCGTTATTGGCCTCCCTGCCCCAAATCTCTACTTGTTCCAGCGCCTCCTATAAAGTTCCACCAATGTAGTTTTCCTGAAGCACCTATAACAATATAAACATGTAATATATTTTACAAATAATTAATGTTATATTATTATGTCATAGCATCATAGCTACATAATATACTTACTAATGGCATCTACCTCCAATGGTACTTATGAGGATAAAATGAAATAATATTTATAAGGTCTTTTTGCAAGCCTTAAAACACTATGTAAATGCTGGCAATTGTTAGTAAGCGTAGACCTAACTATGTGACTCTACTTCTCAACCAACTTCCTATTGCCTCTAAGATGAAATATGAACTCCTCTGTTTAGTCTTGAAAGCCCTACCCAACCTATCTTTCCAGCCTCATTTGGACGTCATGCTTCCTCCTACACTCTGTGATCTAGCTAAATAGGCCTTCACTCTTTTTCATAAATAATATTCTCTCTCCCATCTCCATGCTATTACACTGGCAGTCTCTCATGCCTAGTATTCACTCACTCCACATCCCCACCCCACAGAAGCTCCTTCTTTCTTTAGGATGCAGCTCAGGAACTTCTTCTGCATGAATCCTTTCCTGATTCTTCTACCCCTCACCAGCTCCCAGTGCCCTCCCTTCCAAATTATTTTGTATTTAATTACTTTATATATATATTCGTATTTATTAACTTTGCTTTTATATTGTATGAATTTCTTATATACCACATATATACTTGCTGTCTGTCTCATTAGAATGTAATCTCACTGTAAGGATTGTTTCATTTTTTTGTACTTGTTTCTCCAGCATTTGGCATAGCCTGGGACACAGTAGGTGTTCAATTAATATGTGTTATTTGGTAGATTGATTGAACAATGGCTTTTGAAGTCTCTAGCCATTTTAAGTCCTATGACTGCTGGAAGTCTATGATAATCATGGAAATGGTTTACATTTATGTGGTGTGGCACAGAAACAAAGCATTGATATAGGTTTCCTGTGATATAGGTGATCTTCATGGCAGCCCTGATGTAGAGATAGAAGATATTAATACTCAAAACGGCCACATGAGGCTTTTGAAGAGATGTGCTGGTTAGATGCTAGAGGACATCGAATAGTGCACTTTGTATCTTTCTCATCTTGAATGAAAACCACTTTAGGAGGTGAAAGAGTCAAGAGTACTTTTACTTAGCTCTTCTAATTCTCATGGTGCCATGCAAGGGACACTGGATTTGGAGTTAAAAGAGACTTGGAATTATAACTGGTGGGTTGTAGTCATTAAATGAGTAAGTGTAAATCTGCTGCCATTTTGGTACATAATCAACAAGAATTTATTAAGCACTTACTATGGAACAGGTAGTGTTCTTTAGCCCTGGGACTGGGGATACAAAGAAAGGTTCAAAACATGATTTCTGCCCTCAAGGAACTCACAGTCTAGTGGGAGAGAAAGGCTGCAAATAACTATATACCTCTAAGAGCTCTCTCTCTCTCTCTCTCTCTCTTTCTCTCTCTCTCTCTCTCTCTCTCTCTCTCTCTCTCTCTCTCTCTCTCTCTCAGTTAGGACTTTTCTGTAATGAATGGAGCTTGAAAGGTAGTTTATTTGGAGGGAGTAATAAGTACATGATTATATTAGACAGATCCTATTAAATGAAGAAACTATTCCTATTGTTTGTCAGCCGATCAACAATTATTAAATACCTATTATATGCCAGACAATATGCTAGGTACTGGACTAGAAGAATGCTGAGGTTCTTTTAAGTTATAAATCT